ACGTAAAGAGGTAATGCTGCTAACTGATGAGCAACAATTAAATCAACGCATTTACCTTTTCCCAACTGGGAAAACCACCAACAATCAAGAATGTGCGAACATTAAACCAACTTTACCTCAGTCAATAATGTGCACCTTTTCAGCTGCTTTGAAACTATAATTATTATGAAAAGCACCACACACATGACCATAAACTGAATTGACAAATTTAATATATAACTAGATACCCTTGAAAAACCTCTTTCAATTAACTTTGATATAAACTGACACTAAAAATAGAAACACTAAACAGTTATTTATTAAAATAAGCAGTGGTCAAGCAGCCAGCTTTACTGTAGCAATACCATTCCTAGGTATGTGTACGATTTTTTTATTATGTTTTTTTTAAGAACAACAATATTTCCAGCAGAAAAGATAATGTTTTAAATTGTAAAAAAATCTGTATTTTTTTAAACAAATGATGACAGCAGAAGTCAATAATTTATTTAGCCTTACATGGTTACTGTTTCAAAATATTTGAGCAAAATACTGTGATATTTTCATCCAAAGTTATCATACCATCAGAATCTTATACCTGCCCATGCCTACTTAAACACAACATTGAGCACTGTCTATTTGACTGTCAACAATGATATACTTTGACATTCATTGGACGCTAATATGATTCCTATATTTATAATGTGCAAAGAATACTTTCCTGAAATTATATGATCAAAGAGAGTCTAAATGTGAGAAAATAAAACCAACTTTACCTCATTCTTTACATATATTGAACCTCTCGAGAAGGAATACATTTTTTTTTTATTAAATATATCTTTTAAAAAGGACTGTAGTGAAGTCCCACTACATTCAAGATTTTAGCTGGCTGAGGCGGCCAAATATGGATCTAATATAATAATAATTTCTAAAAATATTAGACAAAAGTATTACACATGATTACAAACTTGTTTTGCTTTTAGCCATTTCTTTAACTTGCATTTAAAAGTAGAATCATTTGTAACACCCCTTAAATCAATCGGACGTGTGTTCCAAAAATGACTGGCTCTAACTGAGAAGACTGATCGTGCAAAATTTGTACGTCTAAACTGCACATACATTAGGGCTCGCGTTTATGGATTTACTACACTCACTTGGGATAAAGCAAAACTTTGTTGGTCCAACCCATCGCTTAAAGCATACATTACATCTAATTCTGTCTTATGGAATTGAGGTCATTGATGTAGACATTATACCACAAAGTGATGATATTACAGACCACTACCTCTTACTATATAAGCTGTGTTTACCTGAAATTAGCAGATCCGCTCTGATATATCGCCCTAGTAGAACTGTCGTTCCATCCACCAAAGAGGAATTTTTAAATTACTTACCTGATTTTTCTCTATTTCGAAATGCACTCGCAAACGCAAATGACCTTGATATAGTAACCAGCAGTATGAATGCCATCTTTACTAGCACCCTAAATACTGTGGCACCCATCAAATTAAAAAGGCTAGAGAGAATAAAACTACACCATGGTATAATAGTCATACTGGCGCTCTCAAAACAGCAACCCGTGCCCTGGAACGTAAATGAAAAAAAACTCATTTAGATGTCTTTAGAATTGCGTACAAAGACAGTATGTCCAGCTATAGGAGGGCTCTAAAATCTGCCAGGGCTGAAAGAATAATAACTGATAGAAAATAATCATGATCCTAGATTCTTATTCAACATCATCGCTAAATTAGCAAATAATCAGTCATCTTTGGAACAAAATGTTTCACCGCAAATTATTAGTGATGACTTCATGAATTTTTTCAGGGATAAAATAGAAGGCTTTAGACAGAAAATAGGAGATGTTTAACTTTCTGTACCACCTCATACCCCAAATCCTGTATGTATTTCATTGAATCATAATAATAACCTACACTGCTTCAAAAGCATAGAACAGGAAGAGCTAGATAAAATTATAAATAGCTCTAAACCAGCTACGTGGACCCAACAAAATTACTGAAAGAGCTGCTACCTGCTATAGGAGAACCTCTTCTTAACATTATCAACTCTTCTTTATCTTTAGGCCATGTTCCAAACTCTTACAAGCTAGCTGTTATTAAGCCTATTATTAAGAAACCGCAACTAGACCCCAGCAACTTAGCTAATTATAGGCCTATTTCAAATCTTCCAATTATGTCTAAAATACTTGAAAAAGTTGTTTCTACTCAATTATGCTCCTTTCTGCTGACGAACAATATTTTTGAGGTGTTTCAGTCAGGTTTCAGAGCTCATCACAGTACAGAAACCGCATTAGTAAAAATAACCAATGATTTACTCTTAGCTGCTGAACAAGGTGCATCTCGCTGTTAGTTCTACTCAAACTTAGTGCGACATTTGACACCATTGACCACAATATCCTCATAAATCAGTCTACAGGTGTCCAGGGACAGGCTCTACAATGGTTTAAGTCATACTTAACTGACCATTACTAGTTTGTGAATATTAATGGACAACCTTCACAAGTCAGCCCAGTAAAGTATGGGGTGCCTCAAGGATCAGTTTTAGGCCCTTTGCTGTTTACAATTTGCATGCTACCTCTGGGAGACATTATTAGAAGACATGGGATCAGCTTTTACTGCTATGCAGATGATACTCAGTTATATATTTCAACTAAACCTGATGAGATGTCTGAACTGTCTAAGCTAACTGAGTGTATTAGAGATGTTAAAGACTGGATGACTAACAATTTTCTTCTCGTAAACTTAGACAAAACAGAATTATTACTTATTGGGCCAAAATCCTGCGCTACTATAAAAGATCTGGGTGTCACATTAGACAGCAATTTAACTTTTGAAAATCATATATCCCACGTCACAAAAACTAATTTCTTTCATCTGAGAAATTTTGCTAAGTTACGAAGTATGCTATCCATCTCATCCAGCTGCCAGAGTTCTTACCAGGTGTAGAAAATATCATCACATCACCCCAATTTTATCCTCCTTACACTGGCTTCCTGTTGAGTTTCGTATTGAATTAAAAATATTACTTCTCACCTATAAAGCTCTAAATAATCTAGCTCCTGTTTATCTAACCAACCTCGCTACAATCCAGCCCGCTCTTTAAGATCTCAAAACTCAGGGCTTCTGGTAGTACCTAGAATGGCAAAGTCGAGTAAAGGAGGTCGAGCCTTCTCATTTATGGCTCCTAAACTCTAGAATAGCCTTCCTGATAACGTCCGAGGCTCAGACACACTCTCGCAGTTCAAAACTAGATTAAAGACCTGTCTGTTTAGTAAAGCATACACTCAGCGCATCACTTAGCGGGTTCCCACACAGGTTTCTGCATCCTGTTTATATACACTATGAACAGCAGCTACGCTAGTTATTCTCTTTATTCTCCATTTTTACCTAGGTATACACATCCCGAGGCCCTCAGACAATGCAGCTCCACTGATTTGATCCAAGACCAGCGACGAGATGATCCCAAGGCTTCCATATCCTAGATCAGGCTGTATCCTGAGCAGCTGCTGTGGTGGTCATGGAGGAGTGGAGAGGATGAGACTGATTCCTGTGACGCTCCAGGGACAGATGAGTCTTCGCCAAGGCCAGCTTCCAGCCTCCGCTGCTGAGACTGCAGCCCTGCACAAGACGTTTGGCCAGCAGAGAAATTAAAATGGTCTTGCCCAACTGAGTCGGGTTTCTCTCAAGGTTTTTTTTCTTCACTCTCCTATCGGTGAAGTTTTTTTCCCTCTCTGCTGTCACCTCTAGCTTGCATGGTTTGGTATCGGTAGAGCTGCGCATCGATGAATTTGCTCTTTAGTGTTTTGACTCTCAGTAGTTAACATTAAACCACACTGAACTGAGCTAAACTGAACTGAACTTAAACACTAAAAACTGAACTACACTGTTCCAATTTACTATGACCTTTTTTGTGAAGCTGCTTTGACACAATCTACATTGTAAAAGCGCTATACAAATAAAGGTGAATTGAACTCTACATATATTGGACCTCTCAAGAAGAAATATTTTTAAATATTTAAATATCTTATAAAAAAAAGACTTATTTGAAGAAAATAAAGACTTTCCGTTTCTTTAGACCATGAGCAAGCATGCAGTATGTCAATTAACGTAAGCAGATGAGCTAATCAATAAACCAGTGGCATTTAAACCTACTTACCCCTTCGATGCTGACGTCGAAGAACGTCAGGCTGCCTCTGGCTTTTATCGCTTCAGACAGCAGAAATGTTCGCTTTGAATGTGTACAATTTCCACAGCATGAGTTTCATACAACGGTTCAAACCTGCTCGACCATGATGTCACAACAGCAAGCAGGAAGACTTTCTACGGACACAACCGTGGGACAATTACGACTCAGAAGCTATCATTTTGAAATTCAAAAAATTGATATGTGGACCTCATATTCGTTCAAATAATTTAGGTAAAGTACATTAATAACACGTGACAGTGTCTGTTCATCCATTGCCCAAACATGAAACGTGTACAGTAGGTTCGTAGTCATTCACTCATTCATTGTCCTTCTCTCGGCTTAGTCCCTTTATTCATCAGGGTCGCTACAGCGGAATGAACCGCCAACTTATCCAGCATATGTTTTGCAAAGCGGATGCCCTTAAAGCTGCAACTAAGTACTGGGAAACACCCATACACACTAACATTTACACACACTATTGACAATTTAGTTTATTCAGTTCACCTATAGCGCATGTCTTTGGACTGTGGAGGAAATTTTAACTGCACAAAAATATACATGCCAGAGGGTAAGTATAAATCAAATACAAATACAGAATATTTATATGTAATTTTTTTTTTAAATACATTGTAGAATTCATAAAGTTTTAAAGTGTATAGGGCTTTCTTATTTAGAGAGTCTCTGACACTGCTAATATATAAGCATAATTCAGCCATCAACACCTTAAAATTTGGTTATTAGTAAATTTACATTTATGAATGTGAAATTTTGTTAGCAAAATAAGTAAATTAATTAAAAACTATTTTCCTTGAATAGGGTGACGCCTCAAATTAGTAGTAATTTCACATTACACTGAACAAAACCGCTTCAGTCCAGTTGTCACAGTTGAAGTTCAGTTTATTTTGCTAGAACTATGTAAAGCTGTTTAACACAATCTACATTGTAAAAAGCGCTCTAAAAGTCTAAATGAATTAAATAAGTTGTGAAGTATACAGGCATCACTGCCATTTTGTAAAACCTGAAACAATATAACGCCATTGTTTGGCAACTTCAACTGCTAGGTGAAGACAGGACAGTTCAACAATTTAACTATAGGAGTGCATTAAGTTAATATTGAAGGAAATGAAAACACTTTATATGTGAAAAGTATTCATTTTTATTCATTACATACAGAACAAGCATTTATTTACAATCTCCAAAAATAAACAAAAAATCTTCTTCTCTTCATCCAGATACAAACGCCGGCCCCCTTCAGCTCCTCCTCTTTATCAACCACAAACACCGGCCCCAAACAGCTCCTCCTTTCCACGCAACCACAAACACCAGCCCTATTCAGCTTTTTCTCTTCGTAAAGCCACAAACTGCCCCATGTTTGTGGCTTGACGGAGTTTCTGGCTAAATAGAAAAGAGGAGCTTAGTGTTAGTGGCTGGATGAAGAGGAGGAGTTCGGTGTTAGTGGATCGATGAAGAGGAGAAGTTTGGTGTTGACGGCTGGATGTTCTGATCTTCTTAATCTTTTCGTCTGTTGTTTGGCTTCAGGATGAAGACCTGGAACCATCTCTGGTGAAGGATCTCGTCAAGTAGAGGCCGCTTGTCTGGCTTAGTCTGCAGACACGAGCAGATCAGATCTACGGCTTCTGTGAAGAAAGAAGGGGGAGATGTCAGGTTATTAGAAAACTTTACGGTTGGTGTAAATGATCACATGTTTTAAGATCCTGTTTCATCATCCACATGCTCTCACCTTTGGATAGGTCTTCAGGCTGCCAGGTTCTTTTGACAATCTTGTGGAGCTCCATATGAGGGTAGTGTCCACACAGCATCCTGAACAACAGTTTGCCTAAAGAGTACACGATTGCAGGCTTGGCGTGGAACCTTCCCTTCTGATAGAACTCCGGGGGAATACAAGCTATTGAGCCTGGAAGAAAGAGAAAGATTTAGTCCCAATGCAGTTAGCTTTTTCGCTAAATATCCATATCAACAAAATAACTTCACATAAATTGTGGCCATTATCATACATACCCCAAAATTTTGTATAGCCAGAGTCCTTAATGAGGCTTCCCGTGCCAAAGTCCATCAGTTTGACCTGCAAGGTGTGGGGGTTGATGAGCAGGCTCTCCAGCTTGATGTTATTGTAGACTCCCCTTTCGCAGCATGCGTTGGCAGCAGTGATCACCTGGTGCATCACCACTCGTGCTTTCGCTTCGCTGATTTTGTTCCCACAAGAGGATACAAACTGGTCCAGGCTCACAGCTGATTTGGGATGCTCCAGCACCAGTATGTATCGGTCTGGTGCCTCATACCAGTCCAGCAGCTGTATAACTTGAGGAACCTTCGGACCTCTGCTCATCATAATCATCAAACCGACCTCTCGTGGAACAGTCTTGTCAGATGGTTCCTGCAGGAGAGATAATAGACGTATTAGTGAGATGTGATTGAACTGAAGTGTAGACTATTTTTAACAATGTTGCGAGTGTGTACTTACAATCGTGATCCTTTCCATTGATTTGCTCTTCTTCACGCATTTGATATCCACCTGTTGACCAAGAGAAAGCAAAAGTTAATACACACGATCCAGCCATGCGGCATTCGTCAAATTTACATTTCAAGGGAAAAGCCCAAAATCTTTTTGTTATGTCTGAAACAAACCATTCGGCAATCCGACAGACGAATTCCATCATAGATGACTCCTGTTGATCCCTGACCAATCAAGTGATGGATTTTATAGTCCTGGGAGATTCTACCTGTAAATAAAACAAAGAAACAAACAATGAAGTACATTTATAGCATAAACCATCAAAAATCTGAGCAAAGATTGCTTTAGAATAGCTCTATTTTAACAAACTATTATTATTGAAGGTGCCTTATAATGGACTGATTCAATCAGATCAGTTGTTCTCTGATATCTATATTATAGGTATATTATGGCATAGGTATGTTTAAAAATATGCTCATTTATTATTACGTCCTGACACATAACTATATAGGAACTTTCTGCTGTATGGATAGCAGATGTTCAGTGGTTTAAATAATCTCAAACACTTAACATCAGTACTTGCTGATATATAAACCTGGTCAGATTCACAAAAAAATCTTGATCAGCTAAACAATGATTACGATTCAAAATGCTTTTAGTGCAATTCTCAAAAACACTTTAGAAATATTTTCTTTAAGAAACATTTTTTTTTCATGAATACAGTTAAGTTATTGTATAGAGCTATTCATAATAACATATTCTGTAATATGATATTTTTATAATATGTTCACTCAGAACTTAAGTAACTTTCATTATCATATACAGTGGAGTAAAAAGCTCAATATTTTGTTTGGGATTGTTATATAACTTCCAGTGAAGTACTTCAGGATAAAAACACCTGATAAACTGACCTGTATTTCCTTCCCAGTTAAATGTGGTTTCCTGTTCTGTTTTCCAAAAATCCGATGAGGAAGATGTGCTGTCCTCGGACACGCTGGAGTCCTCGCTGGAAGCGTTTTCCTCATCGTTGTGGTGTTCAGCGGTCAGCGAAGACTCACAAGGGTGCCTACTGTGCACTGAAGCGCGGTCAGATTCGCTGATCCCCGCGGTACCAAGCGAAGACGCACAAGAGTGCCAACTTAACACTGATGCGCGGTCAGATTCACTGATAACCGGGGTGCCAAGCGAAGACGCACACGAGTGCCAGCTGTGCACTGAAGCGCGGTCGGATTCGCTGTTTCCCGCAGTGGTAAGAGAAGATACAGAAAAGTCCCAGCATTCAGTGTTGTCGTGCCGTTCAGTTTCTGTTGACGGGGTCTTCACAGGGGTCTGGATAGACACGCGCCTGTTAACCCGCTCATCATGAACTGTCCTCGGCGACACACACGCAGCTTCACCGTCAGGGGATCTCTGAGGCTGTGGGCTGCTCAGCTGGCCCTGTGGGGCTCTGGTTCTAGTTCTCTTGAATTTCCGAGAAAACCATTTCCAGAGCCTCTTAAGTTTCTTCTCTCTTGTCTGTGGTGCTGGGCTTGGTGAAACACCAGCTCCAGTGTGAATGTGGGAGATGAACGTAGCGTTGCTCGGTCCGGCTTCGTCATCAGAACATCTCCGGTGCTCGAGGTCGCCCTCGGATGTGCACTGGTTCTGCTGGGCTTTCCCGGATTTCCGAGAGGCCCAGTTACAGAACTGTTTTACTCTCTTTCTAACTCGTCCCATTGTTCTATGTTTCTTTCCAAACTCGAGAGAATTGTTATCAACGGCGAACTGAATATTTGTTATATCACGATCAACTGAAAACTCCATAAATCAGACGTAAAACGCAGATCTATAGTGATTCGGTACAACTCGCTCGAGATGTTGCAAGAAAATGAGCCGGTATGCCGTCTACATCATTATAAGAACTACGATGGAATGTCTGACGTCATGGCTCATTTGCATACAGCAGCGCAAGGCAGCGCCATTCAAAAGAAAACAGATGTTTTCTACCGAAAATGTAAATCTTAGCTGTGTTTAAACACATTTCTTCTTCAGATCTACTTTAAATTGCATTACCTAATGCAGGATAACATTTTAAATGATAACTTGTTGCAATAAAAACATTATCACATTTATTATGACTTGATTCACTCATCAAAGTCTCTATTTTCAACTGTATGTAAATTTAAACAAAATCTGACTTTTACATTTACATTTAACATTTAATTTCACTTAGCTTTTAATATAAAAAAAAGCAAAGGTTACATTAAATTTGAATTGACAATCTCGAAACCATCCTATTCATTCTCCCTCTCTTCTCAGATGGGATGGCGGGCCAAATCAAAGTTTACCATGGGCCAACTTTGGCCGTGGTTTGGACATCTCTGAACAATTGTTATTGTGGCTGACGTCAATAAATATTCTTAATAATAGGAATTAATCCGCCATATCTTTGAACTGTGCAGAGCTGTAGCTGCTTTACTGGGCTTACAACGCTACTGTATTTCAATACTACTCATTATGGTGGTATTTTTTACAGCAATATTTTTTCTGAGGTGGTACTTGATGAAAAAAGTTTGAGAACCACTGGCCTACTTCATTAGCAGCCAAAATTGTAAAGCAAAAAGAAAATACTATTGCTATTTTAAAACCCTTTTACTAATGTTGTTATTGCTCTTTATGGACTTATGTAACGAAGTTATAATTTTCATTGTGAATCCTCCTGAATTATGCAGCAGTTATGTGTTTTATAGAGTAAGGGCGCCCTCATGTGGTTTGTTTGGGTACCGCAGACATACAAGTTAGGCAGGAAGTGACCTAGCGCAGCAGATGCTGTGAGACAGCCATGCTGTGGGTAGGTGTTTTTCATGCTCCGTCATAGTTTATTAATATTAGCTTAAGAAAGTAGCGATTTCAAACATTTAGTTTATAATTTGGTTATATTATCATTAAGCATTAAGTTTGACTTGTGACATGTAGTTTTTATGGCTTTTTATAAATGTCTACTGGATTATGCTCTTTAGCAAGGCCATGCGGTTGATTTGATTTTCTATTTCATTTAGATGTTGTATGTCTGCAGCAAGCAATCCACTAATAAGGGCTGTACTGTTTATTATTTCAGGTATGTCAATGTTTATTTGTTAATTGTGAATGTTACGTTTTATGTTAAATGTTCATATGATTATCAGTTAATATATGGATATTAATGATGTAATAGGCAGCAGATGCTGTGAGACAGCCATGCTGTGGATGTTGTATGTCTGCAGCAAGCAATCCACTAATAAGGGCTTTACTGTTTATTATTTCAGTATATCAGTAAAAAGGAGTAATCAAATACTGTGTCCGGGCCTTCATTAAAGAGCATTGCACACAACGCAGAGGAAGAAGAGTTGAAGGACCGAAGACGTTACATTGGTGCCGTGACTCGTCAGATCACCTGATCAACTTGATGAAGATCGCCGAGAGGTTGCTGCTTTAGTCCCTGTCTGACATAATTTGATTTATGAACATTTGGATGCATCTTTTTGCAATTTAAGACTTTCTAAAAAAATCAAAAAAAAAAAAAAACAAGGGAAATTTGCAACAATTTTGTTTTATTTTGTATCTACTATTGTTCTTTTTTTTTGCGAACTGACATTGTTTCATTAACTTTAAAATAATGGGTGAGAAATTTGTAGATCGTTTCAATATTAGTTCTCCTATTAGCCCTTTTATTCCACGTGGGAGGGGTGTCATTACTAACAGTGCTTGCAAAGATGGACCTACTATCAATAGGATGGGCCTTTCCCATGTGACATCTGATTATGTTCAAGGTGTGGGTCGTGGGCTTTTCGTTCATGATCCGACTGCGCAGCACAGTGTTGGAAATACGTCTACGACACACAATACCAGTTGTGACAGACAAATTTTAGATTGTCTAACTGATATGTTTGGGCGACTGGGTGAACAAATTAGTGATGCTGTCGCTGCCAAAATAATAGAGAACAGTACAATGTCTGTGAATCGAGAGTCTCATGTCAACAGAGGGGTAAATTCTGACAGCTTTACCAAGCAAGATGTTTCCCGTGTAACAGTTCATGTCACTTCTGATAGAGACCCTGTGATTTTTAGAGGAGACGGAAGTGATAAATTCCCGGTGCATGAATGGATTGAAATGACCAAAACACTTTTATTCAAGCAGAAGTGTGCTGTTGAAAATCAGGCGGATGAAATAATGTCACGCTTAATGGGCAGAGCGGGAGATATTGTGCGGATTAGTTTAAGGAGCGACACATCTCTTAACGTGAAGAGTGACCCTGAAATAATTTACTCTATCCTGCTGAAATATTTTAGTATTGCACCATCTTGCCTCCCTTTGGCAGACTTTTATTCAACTCTGCCTAAGGTGGGTGAGTCTGCAGTGGATTACTGGATCAGAGTCAATAAAGCGGCAGATTTAGCAGATGAAGGCTTGCGTAGACAGGGTCGTGTTATGGATGATATCAGTGCAGAGGTGGCTCGAATGTTTGTAAAATACTGCCCTGATCCAGTATTATCTGATTTTTTTAAGCACAAGCCGATCAGTGAATGGACTGCAAAAGAAGTTCAGGGGAGATTGGATGAGTATCAGAGAGAGCAGCGCTCGTCTCTGACATCTGCCAGCTCTCTTGACATGAGAAATGTTGATGTGTTACCATGTGACAATCTTTTGCCGATGTCTCGCTCGCAGGAAACGAATGCTAGTTTTGCGCACTACACGAGTTCCCCTCCTGTGTCTGATGGTGTGCAAGACCGGGTGCACAGTACTTGCTGTCCAGAAAGAGCAGTTCGACAGTCACATGACCAGGGGGGAAATTCGAATGAACATATCCTGAATCGTATGATGGGTATGCTGGAACAGGTGGTGGAAAGAGTGCACCAGAGTAGCAACGTCCAACCTGAAAGGAATTTAATTCCCAGGTACAGAGGTAGGGTAAGGGGCTGTGGAGTTTGCGGTAATACTTCGCATTCCACTAAGTCTCACTGCCTGAGAGACAGGTTGTGTTTTAGCTGCTTTTCACCTGGCCATGCACAGTCAGCCTGTCCGCAGTCTCAGTCGGGAAACTGACCAACCTGTATATGGAGGGAGGTTGTGCAGGTTTAGATAGTAACTCCCAAAATGTCGTAGATGTTGCAAATGCTGAAAAAATTTTCATGTCTGCCAAAGAGTCTTGTTGTAGTGAGAATGTAGTGTTTCAGAACACCAATGCTATCTGCAGCAGTGACAGTTTGTTCTACACTTCAGTCATGGTGGATGATAAGGTAGCCTTGAATGGTATGCTTGACAGTGGTTCTATGGCGTGTACCATGAATGAAAGTGCAGAGCAAAAACTGTTGGAAGCTGGTATAATCAATGATCAAAATGGAGATAGCCCAGATGTGCTATTAATAGGTTGTGGTGGTAGCCAGGTAAAACCTAAACGTACTGTGACAGTTCAACTTGAGATTTATGGATGTAAAATGCTGGTACCTACCCTGGTTGTCAGTGGGCAGCACGACGAATTCATCGTTGGTACGAATGTCATTAAGCACATTATACGGTGTTCTAAGCAATGTGACTTGTTTTGGAGGACAGTTTCAACACCTCTTTGTTGTAATGATCCTATGGCTGAGACTTACCTTTCTATGCTTGCAGGCTTGAATCGTTGGATGGGTGACGAAATTCCTGACAAAATAGGAACTGTGAGATGTAATTCAGCAGTTTGTTTAGAGCCTGGCCGTGAGTACCTTGTATGGGGAAGACTGCCTAAGCATGTAGTGGTGTCGCCGGGTAGTGCTGTTGTGACTGAGCCCACAAGTTCTCGTTCTGCACCTAGGGGCATTCTGGTAGCCAGACTTGTCACACATCTATGGGGAGACAGGTGGGTTCCATTGAAGTTAATCAATACATGGAATAAACCTGTTATGCTAAAGCGTAATGCCAAGATAGCTGATTTGTTTCCAGGTGTTGCACTGGAGGATTTGGATGATGGAGCACTATATTCACAGATTCAGAAAACTCAGCCAGTGGATAGTGTCTCCTTAGGTTCGAGCTGTATTGGAGAGAAACTGAAATCTGTTGGTCTGGAAGGGCTTGACCTAGATTCCTGTGATGTGTCTGATTCCTGTAGGAAGAAGTTGGCTGAGATGGTCATACAGTACAATGATGTGTTTTCACGCCATCATTTAGATTGTGGTAATGCTACTGAATTTGTTCACAGGATCCATCTTTCAGACACAAAACCTTTCCGTCTTCCATATCGGCGCGTTGCACCCAGCGAATATCAAGTGTTGCGTCGCGTGTTGACTGAAATGGAGGAGAAGGAGATTATTCGCAAGTCGACCAGTGAGTTTGCATCTCCTTTAGTCCTCGTCTGGAAAAAGAATGGGGATTTACGTGTCTGTACAGACTTTCGATGGCTAAACAAGAGAACACTGAAAGATGCTCATCCACTTCCCCACCAGGCCGATTGTTTAGCTGCATTAGGGGGGAATTCATTGTTTAGTACAATGGACCTGACCTCTGGCTTTTACAACATGCCGTTGCATGAGGATGACCGAAAGTACTCTGCCTTTACAACACCTATGGGTTTATATGAGTACAATCGGCTTCCTCAAGGCCTTTGTAACAGCCCAGGAAGTTTTATGCGCATGATGACAAGCATTTTCGGTGACCAAAACTTCTTGAGTTTGTTATGTTATTTGGATGATTTGATAGTGTTTGGGCCTGATGAAATTACAGCACTGGATCGTCTTGAGATGGTTTTCAGCCGATTGAGGAAACATAACTTAAAACTTGCTCCCAAGAAATGTAACTTCTTAAGGAAATCTGTGCAGTTTTTAGGGCATGTTGTTGATGAGTTTGGAGTGTCCACAGATCCAAGTAAGGTGGACAGTATTTCCAAAATGACCGGATTGGACTTAATGGAGGCTGATGGAGTTACACCGTCCCAGAAGCGCATAAGGTCGTTTCTTGGGATGGTCAACTATTATCAGCATTTCATACCCAATTACTCCTCTGTGGCCAAGCCGCTTTTTGATCTTTTAAAGGGTCAAAAACAGAAGATCAAGCGGGGTCGTGCAAATAAACGAGTCTGTGTACCACGGAAGTTGAGTGTGACT